TTATACAAGTATGCTATGGAACTCCACCCGCTACGAACACGTGTGGTCCATAGCTGGCCCCAGGCGATCGAGTTCAAACATGACTCATGTCTCAACCATGGAGATCGCGGGCTAATTATGGTGTGACACGATATATTACAAAACCCCATCCGCTGATCATTAAAGGACCATATCCTAATTCATGATGGAGGTCACAGGTTAAGAATGTCACTCCCGGATATATGCTAGAGCCAGATGGCTTTGAACATCCCCTGAACATTAAAGGACAATATCCTAATTCATGTTAGAGGTCACAGGTTAATTATGTCACTCCCCGTATATGTGCTACAAACAGATGTCATTAAACATCTGCTGAACATTAAAGGACAATAACGTTAATTATGTCACTCCCGGATACGGGCTACAAACAGATGTCATTAAACATCTGCTGAACATTAAAGGACAATAACCTACTTCATTGCTGAGGTCACGGTCATTAAAAAGGTCATAAGGTTAATCCCTAAGGGGGCGGGTCAAATGTCAAAGTCATCAATCAAAAAAGATGACATTCCGTGAATCGTAATAACTACTTGTGATGCTGTTTTGTGCCATTCAGATGCATAAACAAACACAACACAAAGGAATGAGGCAAAGAACCACTGCCAGAAAACCTGAAGCAGAACACCGGTCAAAAACCAGGGACCAGACAAGCATCCAGTCTTTAACACATATCTGCTGCACACACAAGCACACCATTATCATTTACTCTTGACATTTCTGGAGTCGATAAACAATATCCCTGGATTGGAAAACTAGGGTGAAGGTTACAGTGGCCCTTTCAAACAGTGTGGTGTTGTATCCCGACCCCATCGAAAACTCGAAATTGCCATTGTGTCTTGGCATTTCTCAATCAAAACACAATATTAGACCCCCCCCTCCCAACGCCCCAACCCTTCATTCGGGTCCCTAGGAAAGGAAATGGACTACATACTGGCTTGGGATGTCCTTTGGGATATTTCGTTGGTGAAGGCTCCAATGCCTTTGTTGGAGACGGCAGCCAGAGAGAAGAAGTACTCTGTATTTGCACGTAGACCCTCCACCACATAGGAAGAGGTTGGGCCGAATGTTTTCTTTACCTGTTTGGACGAAATATAATAACGTGTGACATGTGCAACAGTGGTCCTGACAACATATTTGAGAAGGTTTGTTGTGGAGAAGGCACCTGAGATTCCTGCCTGCCCTCTCTGTAATGCAGTTCGTAACTGATGATTCCCTCCTTCTCGAAGGCCGGTTCCCATGTTAGCTCAACACTCGTGTCTGACACCTCACCAACCTGGAAGTTGGTCGGCTGTCCAGGGACTACAAATGGAGCCAGTGTTGATAGTTTAATAGACATGAAACTAATTAAACAAACGAACAAATAATGATAAAGTAACTAAATTAACAGAACTGCTTCACCAACAATATAGATTGACATTAAAGCAACAAGTTCATAGCAACAAGGTTCTATTGACCAATATTTGACCCATCACAGCACAATTAATTGCACAAAAATCTATGAGTTTCTCATCTTTAAAATTAGATCTCTATGTGGCTTGTAACTACAGTAAACAAAATGAAAAGCATGCATTACTGTTAAAAAGCAGAAAAGCTTTATAGTGTAAATAGAAAATACTCCAAGAGTATAGAATAGTGTGAAGAACAAAACTTTTTTGCAATTTTTTAAAATCTGCCCATGCTAAAGAAACCTTACATATACACATCTGTACAAACATGTTGGTACGTACATGCACTAGTAGAGGTGAATCCCTTCAAGAGGGACTAAAGACGAGATAATCAGATTAATCAGATTTTTGTGGTTGAGAGTAGATCAACTAGACAAAGCCTTTTTAAGATCTGACACGCTTCTATTGATAGATGCAGCTGTCATTTTCACAGACATCATGCAGAAATAGGGAGAGGTCAACCAAAGAGTAAACGGGAACAATAAAACCAGAGAGAAGAATTTGAAATAAAATGCATAGAGGAATATAACTGAGGGGTCGCTAGCATGCCCGGACAAAAGACAACTGGAGAGGAAAAAAAGAGAAATATAAGAGAATAGAACGCACAAAAGAGCAAGAAAGAGGAAGAAAGGGAAGGGTTGGGAGACGGAACGAGGGGGGGAAACCCACTTCAATGCAGAGAAAGGCTTTTTATCGTCTCGAGCCAATATGACGTAATGTGACAGGATCGTATTGTCACATTGCGGTCCTGGCTAGACGTAACAAAATTTACAGCGGAAATTCTGGATTCAGTCAATAAAGTAGCTGTCAGTTCAACTCAACTAACTATCACACACATTTAAAAAATTAAAAAAACAAGAAACCGAAAGAAAATGATTACAAATTGACCAAATAAGGTCACATGACTGATACATATGCTAGTCTATGATGATGACAGCGATGCACCTCAACTACTGAGATGCCAAACCTACACACGAGAGAAAAGATGAAGGATCTGTTGGGGGAAAGGGTTGGATATGAGTTATGGCAGAGATGGAGTTGGCCAGGTTGTGCAACAGGCTTCTTTCATAGCCTGTCTGGCATGTTCATTCTTGGTAACCTTGCTATTTTGACATGACTCGTTGAAAAGTCAAGAAACAATGGAAACTTAAATGTCTCTAAAATACAGACTCTGTTCCAAAACCTAGCAAGCTGCCTAGGCCGTTACCTTCTAAGGACACTTTCTAAATACACAAATACTCCAAAGACCCAACTCACAACCGTTTCCAAGTCTGATGCAAATATTGGGCAAAGCAGTACATTTTTAATTAGACTGAAACATCTTGAATGAAATTATTCCATAAACCTTCCGCTTTTGACCTTTTGGGTGGATTATTTTATTGACATTTTACCAGAAGGATACATGCAATTCTATCTTATCACTTAGCCAAAACTAGATATCTCCATAAAGTTGCTTATAAAGCATGGGTATTAGGTGTATGTTTATACATCTAGTTCGTTTTCTTGCAAGGTTTTGGAATAGACTTAGAATAGGAGAAAGGAAAGTACCAGCAATAAAGCAATAGGCTAGGGCTAGCTCAGAAAACAAACAAACAACCAAATGAATACAAAAAAAGAAAATTAACAACCCCACATAGACAAAACGAGGTCAGGAACAACTGGTAGAGACAGGTCGTTTTCTTGCAAGGTTTTGGAATAGACTTAGAATAGGAGAAAGGAAAGACAGAGGGACAGCAATGGGTGCTAGGGCTAGCTCAGAAAACAAACAAACAACCAAATGAATACAAAAAAAGAAAATTAACAACCCCACATAGACAAAACGAGGTCAGGAACAACTGGTAGAGACAGGGCACAAGGCAGAACAAGACCTAGGCTGCAAGACAGCAGACGGGGCCAGACAGACTGGAAGGACAAAGTGGTGCACGTTACATGTGGGACAGAGACAGAAGGGAAATAACACGGGGAGTGAGAGGTGGGGATTGGGGCAAAGAGGAGACTGTAACACTGGGCCAACTGGAGTAAAAGCATGTTGGTTTGACTTCTCTCACAATGGGGCTTGAATAACCTCTCACCATCGCCTCGGACAACAGCAGCCAAAGAGCATAAAGTCTTGAATTTGTAATTAAATGCCATCGAAAGTTCAGTGGGTTTAAATCTAGTTTGAATGTTGGCGCCAAAATTTAGAATTTTAAAAACTTTTTGAAAATCAACATTATTAAGTACTTTTAAATTTAGAAATACTGTTATAGTCAAGGCAACAGGCTCTAGCGTTACATTCTAAATTCTGTATCTATAGTTTACAGCGATAATTAAACATGAATATATTCAGTATCAGAGAGCCAGTGTGATGGATGATCTCGGTTGGTGTCCAGTGAGTGAAAATCACATTATAATCCATTTCATAATCACTTTGTAAAACAAGATCAAGTTACCTTTATATCATTAGTTTATAAATGTATAATATTTATAATAATATTTAACAGTGTGTTAATACATTTTATAATAAATGTATCTATTTTGATACAGATTTTTTAAAACTAATTTAAGTTAATTAATTAAAGTTAAAATAGTAATTTATTTCTAGGAAATTTCCAGGTTCTATTGAAGTCAAGCTCTATCCATAGCATTTGGAGGCATAATGATGACTTCCATAAAAAAAATTGAAATAAATTTTTTTTTTTAATGAAAAATATATTTTTTTATTAAACAAGGTTTTATTATTATTTTTAAAACCGTGGTTTAAATGGTGTGCCTCTAAATTATTTTCCATAGATTATTTTCTGTGGTAATCAAAATTACGCCACAAGTGCAACAGAGCTTCATTTGCACTGAACCTGGATCACTCCTTTAAATAAGGAAAAATACTTCTGGATTTTTTTTAGAAAACAAAACCAACATTAAAATAAACAATGACATACTGAAACGACCCCCATATAAATGCATATTGAAAAAATGTTCAACAAAGTTGAAAGGGCAGCCCACGTATCACAATGTGCATGCATGACTGTGATTGAAGGAATGACGTCAACAGAACGGCACCAAACTATCAACCAGGCCTACAGCTACATTTAACACATAATTGAGGCATGCAACCCTCCCCAAGTGTTAGGTTGCACCCCAATACATAAGAACGATACCTGCTTGGAACTACCACTTGATATATAACATTCCAATCCAGATCCTCTTTGACCTTAGAACACTACCTTCTCATTAATAAATCATCTACAAAGTATGCAGAGTCTCTTTTCTTAGCAGCCTCAGAGCTAATCACAGCTGAGAAGCATTTTTTTAAAGATGGATCATCGTGAGTGTGAGGGTTAGAACGAGAGACAGAAGAGCTTTTCCTAAATAAACTCCTGGTTGGTTATCATCGCTCCCAGAATAATGTAAAACATTTTTATTGTCAACTGAAACTATAGTAAATGCGTATTTTTATAAAGTATGTTATATATATAATCACATTTTATTTATTTAAATGAAGAGAATGATGTGTTTTATACGTTCAATAAACTTAAATAAATGTTGAATACTTTTTTTAATTGCATGATGAATCATTTGCTTTAGTTTAAAACATGCTGTCATATATACTGTAATTATTTATATCCATACTCTTTAAAATAGAGATAAGACTCTCTTTAGCTTGAAATGTTTATGTGTGTGCTTGTTTATATGATTTATCAGAACACAAATGTGTATACTGTCATGGTTATAACACTGATATAACAATGCAAATGTGTTTATGAGGATATTTCTCATAATTCGGATCGCTTAAAAAAACAATATTTTATTAAAAATGTAAGCACATGCAGAATTTTTTTTTTTTTTTTTACAGTTTGTACAGTAAAAAATCAGTATGTCTATGGAGTGTCATAATGGAGTGTAGTAATACTCCAAATGATTGTCCTCATGAGCATAACAGCTTTTTAAATTATAAATTATACTAAATGGTGTTTCTGAAAGTTTACTGTAATGGTAGGTTTAAGGGATGATAGTGTATACAATTTATGAATATAATGTAAATATAAATATGATGTAGAAACTAAAATTTTCTGTGAAACTGCGTTGCGACAATTTGGTTTGTGAAAAAGTTATACAAATAAACATGAATTAAATTGAATTGAATTATGTCAATGTAAAGTCTCCATAAACATGACCGGACATGTCCGGGGCCCCAATGGTCCTTATCGTTTGACCTGTTAAAATATATATTTTTTCCCGATCCTGGTAAAATGTATGTTTTTATATTTTTAGTGATGACTAAAACTAGTGTAAATGTTTTCCTTTGTTTTATATAATGTGCGATCACATATTTTACTTATTTATTTTCATTTAAAAAAAGAGATTCGGGGCCATTGAATGCGCACGCGTGCGTGAGAGAGCAAGAGAGAGAGAGAGCGAGAGAGAGAGAGAGAGCAAAAATGCCCTGATACCTTAGGACTGCATATTTTACAACCGTGTCTAAATTAAGAATATTTATGTCGTCATGGTTAAATCCGAAGCATATGTAAAGAGGCCTCGTTATTATTTAAACAAGCTTCTTAAAAGAAAGCATAACATTACGACGGCAAAGACATCGACTCTCAGATTGCACCTGTGTAAACAATCCAAAAATGCATGTGGGTGTCTGAATTTGCTCTCCGGTACAATTTTCTGCAAGTTTGAATAGGAAAGATAGACAGTCGCGCGATCCTTATACCCAAAACACTGTGAAATAAAACAAGACTAAATAATATTTAAAGCGCATGAATAAATGTAATATTAACTAAATAATTAAAACATTTCTAAACCCCGTTCGGCATGAGATTCGAATCGAGACGGCAAAATAATGGCTAGCTCCATGCCATACAGTCCACTACACCGCCGTCGTCCTCAGGGTTTAGACAGACTTAGAGGGGATACAGATCTTAAACATATAGTTTGAGACGCTGTTGAAAAAACGTGAAGACATGGTTTCTCTGTTCCCCTGGTAAAATGTACGACGTTTTTATATTTTTAGCGATGACTAAAACTAGTGTAAATGTTTTCCTTTGTTTTATATCATGTGCGAACACATAATTCATTTATTTATTTTCATTTAAAAAAAGAGAATAAGACTCGGGACGATTGAATGTGCACTCGTGCTTGCGTGAGAGAGAGAGAGAGATCTTTTCCAGCTTAATTTTGGTAAACCTCTCATTTGAAGAATGGCTATGCTTGCCCTAGGAAGACTTTGTTTCACGGAAAAATGTAAGAGGGTATTTATATTTTTTTATTTTCAATTTCATTATACATTACAGTGTGTGTGTGTGTGTGTGTGAGAGAGAGAGAGAGAGAGAGAGAGAGAGAGAGAGAGAATGTTAAAATTGTTTATTTATTCTGTTTATTGTTCATCCCATTCCTTCTCGGGAGTTTTAGTCGAGTATAAACCGTCCATGTCTATGTGTTTCACAGCTCTTTTCTGATTTTCCACAGAAGTGCCAGGGTCTATTTATCTAAGCATGCCTTGGAATGCAACCGGACACGCAGACCCCAGATGAGGCAAACCCCCCGGATGTGGGAACGGACCATTAAAATCTTCAAAAACATTCTTCAGGAGTTCATTTATAGCAGGCCATCCTCTGAAATGGACATAAAGCTGAACAAACATCATTTTTCATAGGTTGATGTCGGAATTTCACATATGCCAGTTTTCACATCTGGATAGGTCACCGGGGTCAACACAACGTGGGTGGTTGCAACGTGGGTGGTCACTATGTGGGGGAGGGGCCGCGTGGGGGAGGGGGAAAGGTCACAAAGGTCAAAGCCATCAATCAAGTTGACATATGCCGTATCATATAGTACTGATGTTTCCTGTCGACTCAATTTTTGAGTGGACTTTGCTGTTCCAAGACCGCCCTCAACCATTGAATCAGCCAATATTTGGCCTGTAAAGGGAATATTGCAAGTTCGATGTCGAACCAAAATGACCGCCCTCAACCACTGAATCAGCCAATATTTAGCCTGTAAAGGGAATACGTCGATGTCGAACCAAAATTACCACCCTCAACCATTGAATCAGCTAATATTTGGCCTGTAAAAGGAATATGTCGATGTCGAACCAAAACGACCGCCCTCAACCATTGAATCAGCCAATATTTGGCCTGTAAAGGGAATATGTCGATGTCAAACCAAAACGACCGCCCTCAACCACTGAATCAGCCAATATTTGGCCTGTAAAGGGAATATGTCGATGTCGAACCAAAATGACCGCCCTCAACCATTGAATCAGCCAATATTTGGCCTGTAAAGGGAATATGTCGACGTCGAACCAAAATGACCGCCCTCAACCACTGAATCAGCCAATATTTGGCCTGTAAAGGGAATACGTAGATACTGACTCAAAATGGCCACCCTTAACCATTGAATCTTGTAGTCTTAACATTTGCATGCCACTTACTCTTAATTCTAGAAAAAACAACTGTGTCTATTCTAGACTTTTGACACACTTGAGACTTAAACTTGACTCTTAAACTCAAGTTTCATCTTAGTTTGGTCTTACATAAGGCCAAGGAGCCGGTGAGCAGCGGAGACAGCAGCAGGGTGCTCAGGGAGAGCAGGATGGGCAGGTGGCTGGCTGGCATCATGTCGTAGATGACCTCTGACCTGTCTGGAGAGCTGTGGCCCCACAGGCTGGAGATGAAGGGTCGGCAAACTGGACGTTTGGCACTCTGGAGGAGAGAAAACAGGAGAATCCTTATAAGTAATGGTACTCACTGACAGGTGAAATAAACATGAGTATGTTAACATTGTTTCACCAGTCAACCATCAAGTTCATTCACACACTTTACCAGAACACTCAGTTTGAGCCTGTTCACATTCCCTCAGACTCCCAATTACAGTTTTACACAACTCATAATTAGTCAGGCTTTATCGCTGGATCATGTCGTTATTTACTTATCCGCCTATCTTGTAATTACCAAGACACTCATCAATATTTCAGACGGTGTCTCTTTGTTTTAGCCAAATTGTGATTAATCCCCCCGTCACTGCTCCCTGCCTCGGGAGTCGACTCAAATCTTTTTGTAGTGAGTCTTATGTGTACTAGATGTGGACATTGAAATAATAGTACGTTTTACGATGTGCAATAATTGTACTATATGCTGCTGCTTAATAAGTGCAATAATTTTGTTTTAGATGCTGCTAATTACTATGTGCATTATTTAATATTTATATGCTGCTGTCATTCCTTTTAGTGCTATATTCTTTTTATATACACTGAACAAAATTATAAACGCTTTTGTTTTTGCCCAATTTTTCATGAGCTGAACTCAAAGATCTAAGACTTTTTCTATGTACACAAAAGGCCTATTTCTCTCAAATATTGTTCACAAATCTGTCTAAATCTGTTAGTGAGCACTTCTCCTTTGCAGAGATAATCCATCCACCTCACAGGTGTGGCATATCAAGATGCTGATTAGACAGCATGATTATTGCACAGGTGTGCCTTAGGCTGTCCACAATAAAAGGCCACTCTAAAATGTGCATTGATTTTATGGTACGTGTTAGTTTAGTGCAGTATTTATGAGCCAGTGTAACGGAATTTCGTTCATATGTGCACTCTGTATGTACAGTTGAATGACAATAAAAAGCTACCTACCTACCTACCTAGAAATCTATACTGGAGCCGGACAAAACCCTCACTCACACACACACACACACACACACACACGTATACTCACAAACTCCATCTCAGACACCCGCCTAGATGAAATATGCATGAAGCACTTTAGCTATTTCCATGACACACTTGACTTCCATGTACCTTGACTTGTCTGTTGAGAAGACAAAGGATTTCTGAACTTTTGCCACTAGTGAAAGTACACTACAGGAAAGAGACACGGTGCACAGAAACAAAACAAGAAGCAGGCTTAAATTGAACCCGTATTTCCCACACAAGCACCACAGACCAACGTGCCAGGAATACATGGACTAACCAAAGGTTTGTACCCTTTTATAATAGTCGGATTTAGCACTTTTCAATTTCACATTTGCTTTGTCCGCCTCTGATAATTTGCTGTAATCCAGACAACGTGTCTCTATGTTCTGATTACTTTAAAAGCAAAGTGGTTCTGATCACATTCACTGAAAAGAGATTAATATTCATCTGCCAGGCTTATCCGTACTGTTGCTCATTGCTAACTGAATTTAAGAGGGCAAATGTCTACCGTCTTTTGATATTTATCATCTAGAACCCGAATAAAGCTCCTAACTGCAATTCTGATAGTAGGAAAGAGAAAACTGAAAAAGTTAAATGCGTTCAATCCTCCAATATTAGCCAGATGCATAAAATTTAATCAAATTCAAAAATGAAACAATAAATAGCTCTCTATATAAAAATAACAAATTCATTGTTCACACATTGGTTACTGCAACTGTGCTAACATGCTTCATGCTTTCATTGCATTTAACTGCAAACTGCATAGTGCACAACAAAAAAAACAAGCCAAATGGTTCAATACTAATCTCTCAAAAAAGAAGACATACTTAGGCCTTTAAATCTGGAAAAAAGGCACTGACTATAAATGAAAATATAAGCATGAAACCATGCGTGTGTGACAAGCGTGTGTGTTTATGCCAGCTGCACCCTTCTCAACAACGGAGGTTCATAACTTTAATAGGTGCAATCCCTTTTAGGACAAAGCAATCCATTGATACCTACTTTCATGCCTTTTAAATGAGCATCATCTCTGTCGCTGTAATCTAATTTCACTCATGTTACTATTTTCCAGCTTGAACAGCATCCAAGAAGCAGGAGGAAACCTCACAACGGGTTGTGCAAGAGCCGACCGCACTGAACTGGAATCCAAAGGCAAAATAAAGAAAAACAAGCCGAAGAGAGTGGAGGAAAAACAATAGCCCTCCTTATTATTGCCGTTATGCTGGAAGTTTTTAGTGAACACATATTTGAGGAGTATTTTGCTTCAGAACAAAGATAAATAAAACATCACTAGTCGTGCTTCACTTTTCTCATTATGTGTTTTTCTGCATTTCCTTTCCTTCTTTTGGGCGGATATGAGTGCATCACATACAGCCACACGCTCGCCTCCTCATTCCACACAGACCGGAACTCCCCGCCAGCTCACACGCTGTTGCCTGCGCCGACACACACGCACACGCATGAACAACAACAACACACACACATAAACAACAAGCAGCACACACACTCAGATCATTTCATCATCTTATAATGTACGCAAAGCACATCGAGCGAGACTGTTTGGACTCTCTCTTTCAATGTCGTCCTAATGCACCTCTCATGAATCAGCCCTAAAATATCATGACGCGTAGATTATTGACGACTTATGCTTTAAAAAAGGATTTTATAGAAATTTGGATTTCATTTGGAGTTTCACGACTAAAGTCCTCTGTTCATTTTTTTTCATCATGCTGGAGATGTCTGTTTAAATCTGTTGTTTACACATTTCTAAGAGTACTTTTAATACTTACAATTTGTAATAATAATAATAACAGCGTTTAATAATAGAATTGTAATACTTGAATATAGTGGACTCTAAACATTGCATTTATTTAATGTGAAAACCCAACTGTTGGGGTTAATTGAAACAGATTTTTCCCCTTTGTAGTTGCACTCAGAGCTGTAATGAACAGAAGCCCAGAACATGTGGATATATTTGCATTAAGAACATGCTGACTTTCTCAGACTTTTTAAATTATTTTCTTTTAATTTCATTTTGATTAGGGTTGTTTACATTTATACTTCTTTACGGTACACTACTGAATGGCAAAGTTGCAAGTTTAATATAATGTTCTTTAAAATTGTTGATTTTTTTGTGTTAAATTAATTGTTCCGATTAATTGATTAATCGATAAATTAGTCGATAGATTAATCAAAATTAAAAATAGTCGTCAGTGGCAGCCCTAATACTGAATACTGGAAATACCAAAAATAGCTAGTAATTAAATAATTTAAAATGTTCCTTGCTCAAGGGCACCTCAGTCGTGGTATTGAAGGTGGGAGAGAACGCTGTACAGTCACTCACCCCCACCTACAATCCCTGCCGGTATGAAACTCGAACCTGCAACCTTTGGGTTACGAGTTCGACTCTCTAACCATTAGGCCATGACTTCCCCCTCAGAGGAATAAACACAATTAGCTGGCAGAGCTTAGGCACTGGCGAACATCTCTCTTCCCCTCCCTTTTCTGCTGATAATGTGAGGAGCTCCAGCGCAGCTGCCATTACCACCACCACTGCATCTGCCATTCAAAACCCAAGCTGATAATTGCACTGCTCTCGCTTCTACACAAACTCACCTAATTTTATCTACGACTACGATCACATTGGCACACACGGGTTACAATAACCATCGTGAGAGGGAGCTATTTGTATAATTGTTGTTTTGAAATTTCTGCTCCATTAGTATTTCCTGCACTAAATCTATCCACGGCGCCATTTAATAGTTTAAGTTCAAGTTTATTTCTAAAGCACATTTAAAAACAGCTAAAAGCCGACCAAAGTCGGAAACTACAGAAAGAAATGGTTTAATCTTAGAAAGGGACCGAAGGTAGAAGAAGCTGGAGCCTACGACAGAACTGATCTGTTTATTGAATTTTAAAGAATTATTAAACTCTACACCCACATTTCGCACTGAAGGGGAAGTAAATTAATTTAGGTGCTTTAGATCAAATAGATTTTGATGCCTGGGTCTGAGGAGTTAAAAACTATGACCTCCGTTTTATCTGTCTTTAAGAAAAGAGAATTTTTAGAAAGCCAGGACTTAACATCATCAAGACAAGCAGATACAGTATTTACAGGACTTTATTTTTTCCAAGTAACTGGTAAATATATTTGCATGTCATCGGCATAACAATGAAAAGAAACTCCATGCTTTCTAATCACAGAACCCAGAGGAAGTAAATATATAGAAAAAAAAAGAGTAGGAGCTAAAATCGAGCCCTGAGGAACACCACATGTTGAAAGACCCAGAGATGAAGTACAATTACCTATTTTAACCCTAAATCTTCTATTAGTTAAAAAGGATTTAAACCAACTTAGAACAGCACCTCCCAGGCCTACAAAAGATTCTAATCGAGAGATAAGAATCTCGTGACCAACCGTAGCAAAAGCTCCAGCATTACTAAAATGACGGAAATCTCCAGAATCTGTAGCCATTAAAACGTCATTAAGAACATTTATAAGAGCTGTTTCAGTACTGTGCAAAGATTTGAACCGAGACTGGAATGTCTCATAAATCTGATTATTTGTTAAAATGGACTGAAGCTGTAAACACACAATTTTTTCCATCACCTTAGAAATAAACGGTAATACAGACGGATAAAACAGTAGTGTCAAGTGAAGAGTGCTTTAGGATAGGAGAGACTGTGGCCATTTTCAGACTGTCTGGTATAAATCCAGATGACAATCATTTATTCAACAATGACACAAGCTCTGGTCCCACTGTGTCAATTATTTGTCTCAGACAGCGAGGGTATATTATATCACATGGAGAAGACGAAGGTTTCAATTTAACAATTATGTCCTTCACTGATTGTAGAGAAACCAGATTGAAGGTAGTCCAGGTAGTCACAGATATCGTGTTTGTTTGAGTTTCATAGTCAGTGTCTTGAATCTGAGCCCTCAGATTAGAGACTTTTTCACCAAAGTATCGCAGAAAATCGTCACAGAGTGTATTGGTAGGATGTTGGATAACGCTAACAGGTGGATTCAACATAGAGTTTATAACATTGAAAATAACTTTAGGAGTCTGATGATGCTTATCAATTAGATCAGAGAAATAAGAGGATTTAGCAGTCTTTACTGCTCTCTGGTAAGAGGATAAGCAGTCCTAAGAATGTCAAAGGAAATTTGTAGTTTGTCTTTTTTCCATTTTCTTTCAGCCTGCCTATAGGCTTGTCTCAAGATATTAATGAAGCATTAACCTGCATCACAAAGCAAGCACGCACTTTTCAGCAAAATGTGACAACTTCCCAAATGTAGTATTAGTTGCTTCTGATTAGGGTCATGTTGACACTTCAAGAAAAATTACAATAAAATAAATCCATAAAGGCAAAAGTGAACATCCACAATGTGACAATTCAATGCATTTCATCATTTTTATACTTTGGGTCTTAGAGATCCAATCAAACAAAAGAAATGCAACATTTAAACGTCCTCTATTGAAAAAGATGTTACCAAATGTATTTATAATCACTAGTTTTCAAGCTATTGAAAGTGTCCCAAAGACCCCAAGCAGAACGTTACATGAGGAAAACAACAGCATAGCAAGCCATCAAAACCGTTAAGACTCAATTACTACAACTTATGTTGCAAAAACTGCACATAACGCACAAAAACATTTCGATACACACAACGCGATTACACAGACATCAAGAGCATCTCTAAATAATTATATCTAAAGATTACACATTGTCTAAAAAAGTTGCTGAAATAATGCACGAAAATTTTTTCCATCACCTTAGAAATAAACGGTAATACAGACGGATAAAACAGTAGTGTCAAGTGAAGGTTTCTTTAGGATAGGAGAGACTGTGGCCATTTTCAGACTGTCTGGTATAAATCCAGATGACAATCATTTATTCAACAATGACACAAGCTCTGGTCCCACTGTGTCAATTATTTGTCTCAGACAGCGAGGGTATATTATATCACATGGAGAAGACGAAGGTTTCAATTTAACAATTATGTCCTTCACTGATTGTAGAGAAACCAGATTGAAGGTAGTCCAGGTAGTCACAGATATCGTGTTTGTTTGAGTTTCATAGTCAGTGTCTTGAATCTGAGCCCTCAGATTAGAGACTTTTTCACCAAAGTATCGCAGAAAATCGTCACAGAGTGTATTGGTAGGATGTTGGATAACGCTAACAGGTGGATTCAACATAGAGTTTATAACATTGAAAATAACTTTAGGAGTCTGATGATGCTTATCAATTAGATCAGAGAAATAAGAGGATTTAGCAGTCTTTACTGCTCTCTGGTAAGAGGATAAGCAGTCCTAAGAATGTCAAAGGAAATTTGTAGTTTGTCTTTTTTCCATTTTCTTTCAGCCTGCCTATAGGCTTGTCTCAAGATATTAATGAAGCATTAACCTGCATCACAAAGCAAGCACGCACTTTTCAGAAAAATGTGACAACTTCCCAAATGTAGTATTAGTTGCTTCTGATTAGGGTCATGTTGACACTTCAAGAAAAATTACAATAAAATAAATCCATAAAGGCAAAAGTGAACATCCACAATGTGACAATTCAATGCATTTCATCATTTTTATACTTTGGGTCTTAGAGATCCAATCAAACAAAAGAAATGCAACATTTAAACGTCCTCTATTGAAAAAGATGTTACCAAATGTATTTATAATCACTAGTTTTCAAGCTATTGAAAGTGTCCCAAAGACCCCAAGCAGAACGTTACATGAGGAAAACAACAGCATAGCAAGCCATCAAAACCGTTAAGACTCAATTACTACAACTTATGTTGCAAAAACTGCACATAACGCACAAAAACATTTCGATACACACAACGCGATTACACAGACATCAAGAGCATCTCTAAATAATTATATCTAAAGATTACACATTGTCTAAAAAAGTTGCTGAAATAATGCACGAATGATTTTACGTTTTAAAATGACAATTAAAAAAAAAACTAATTTACTTACAATAGTTCCACGCGCGTCCAAGTAACTTTATTTCGGATCGATGCAGAAGCGGTACGACCATATATTTTATTCCCCTTAAAAGCGTCCTATGCTGCATCCATATAAAACAGGAGGGGGAAAAATCCAAATAACTCCTTAGATACGCGAAGTTTTCAACCGGACAAAACAGTTATCCGTGCCATGTCGACGGCGTCCGTGCGTAAACTCTCCAAGAGCGCACGCAACTCCAGAAACGCGTTGTAAAACACTGCAGTCACGCCATCTGCGCTTAAAACTTCGCTGCGCGTCTACATGGCGTTGCGTGGTAGTGATGGCCATACAGCTTCCAAACCTTTGCAAATCTTTTTTTTTTTTAAAGAGTGGGTCTGAGCACGTATCAAACTGAAACCACAGTCAATTAATCAATAATAATAGGCTAATTAAAAACACATTTAATGTAAAAAACTTATTTAATGGTATTTTATTGTTTAATTGTATGTAATGTATTAAACTTTCAATAAAACATTTGCAATGGGTTTGTAAAATGTTTTTGTAAAATGTCGTGCATGCATGTTTTGACCTGACACACTTGATGTTGGAATTGAATATTAAAAATTAATAAAAATAAAATTGTTTTCTGCAAATTCTTGTTCTACAGCTCCCCAGGTACCAATGTGGTCAATTTTTGTTTGCTTTACTGCTTCATTTTTTAATAATTGCATGCAAAATTCATGAGTAATCCTATTTACGTTGCCATACAGACACATTAAAAAAATTAATAAAAAGGTCAAATCAAATTGTTTTCTGCAAACTTAACCAGATTCTTGTTCTACATCTCCCCAGGTACCACTGTGGTGATTGTCATGTCACTTTACGGTTTCATTCTTAAATAACCGCATGCCAAAATCATGACCAATGCTATTTACCTCGCTATATCGACATACAAACGAACCTGTAGACTCTTATATACATTTGGCTGGCTTTGGGATGACCATGAGGTTTGGATATTGACTGTGTATTTGGCTTAGTGAAGGTTTTGGTAATTCTGATCCTGCCTTGTGTGTGCGGTTAGGGTTAGGGTTAGGGTTAGTCTTCACACGCAACATGAACATGTCATGACTTACAGGTGATTGTTTACAAATATTTATATTTTAATTTGAATAAACATTTATGTAGCCTATTCCAATATAATATTTTATCCGGTCTTCCAGATACAACTTTCAGTGTTGTGAAGTACTATAAGATGTCCATATAACTGTACTTTTCCATCACTAGTCTTATGTTATTGTCACGATCCAGCAAGATCAGCACTGTCACAAAGGTATTACTGTTAGTAGTGGTTGTAGTACTAATATGTATATTGTGGCACCTAATTTCATTATGGTGACTGGTAGAATAAACGTCCTCTATTGAAAAAGATGTTACCAAATGTATTTATAATCACTAGTTTTCAAGCTATTGAAAGTGTCCCAAAGACCCCAAGCAGAACGTTACATGAGGAAAACAACAGCATAGCAAGCCATCAAAACCGTTAAGACTCAATTACTACAACTTATGTTGCAAAAACTGCACATAACGCACAAAAACATTTCGATACACACAACGCGATTACACAGACATCAAGAGCATCTCTAAATAATTATATCTAAAGATTACACATTGTCTAAAAAAGTTGCTGAAATAATGCACGAATGATTTTACGTTTTAAAATGACAATTAAAAAAAAAACTAATTTACTTACAATAGTTCCACGCGCGTCCAAGTAACTTTATTTCGGATCGATGCAGAAGCGGTACGACCATATATTTTATTCCCCTTAAAAGCGTCCTATGCTGCATCCATATAAAACAGGAGGGGGAAAAATCCAAATAACTCCTTAGATACGCGAAGTTTTCAACCGGACAAAACAGTTATCCGTGCCATGTCGACGGCGTCCGTGCGTAAACTCTCCAAGAGCGCACGCAACTCCAGAAACGCGTTGTAAAACACTGCAGTCACGCCATCTGCGCTTAAAACTTCGCTGCGCGTCTACATGGCGTTGCGTGGTAGTGATGGCCATACAGCTTCCAAACCTTTGCAAATCTTTTTTTTTTTAAAGAGGGGTTCTGAGCGCGTATCAAACTGAAACCACAGTCAATGAATCGATAATAATAAGCTAATTAAAAACACATTACAGAGGCACTTCTTAATTAATGGTATGTTATTGTTTAATTGTATGTAATGTATTAAACTTTCAATAAAACATTTGCAATGGGTTTGTAAAATGTCGTGCATGCATGTTTTGACCTGAGACACTTGATGTTGGAATTGAATATTAAAAATTAACACAGTCAATGAATCGATAATAATAAGCTAATTAAAAACACATTACAGAGGCACTTCTT